AATTACTTGAAGAAAAAAAATTAGCTTGAAAGGCTGTGATGTGTGGAAATACAGCGTTGGGGCTTATGTACATATATAGAGAGTTAGAAACGGTTATGACGTCTGCTTTGATTTAATTTTGATAAAATATTAGTTTATTCTGCTAATCTAGCGGCTATAAGTTTCCTTTTTTATTAGTAGTTGGACCTTAAGTCAAAACATAGAGTACATCAATCTTATATTAGTCATGATGGCCTAAAATATTTGGGCATCAATCTTGAACGTGCAAAAATACAATTTCTTATTTTGACGGACCAAGTCTTTCTCAACGTTATGTTAGGGACTAATATAGTTCATGAACTAAATAAATGTGCGTATACACAACAATAATGTGCATGTCATTTTTCATTACTTGCATTTATTAACTTACGATAAATTACAAATTTGACTCATTAATTAAATTGCAACATAATTAAAATTCTCAAAATTTGACTCATCGACGAGGGAGGCGCAGCGGCAGCGGGACTGACAGTCGGAGTTGCTGATGGAGCCACTGGCAGCAAGGGGCGGCAGCTAGGGTTGCGTAGCAGCAGCAGAGGAAACAATGGAGGAGAAATATATGGACGGCGACGGTGGCAGACTGGCGGCGATGGATGGTGGTGGGCTGGTTATTAAGGGAGCATGCGGTGGGGGCAACAATGGAAGCAGAGGGAACATGAGAGGAGAGGGAGAGAGGGGGGTGCGTTGTTGGGGTGGGGCTCATGGGTGAGTGGGTGTGAGATGGGTGGGGTGTTGGGGTTACGCATAGAGATGGTTAATGGTCTTTGGCCCGACAGACCGATCCGTTTAGCAAAAAAAAAAAGAAGGATAAGTGTCTTTTATTGGTAGTCCGTTTAAATTCAGGCTTTTTAGGTCTGAAACGTTTAGCCCGAAGCTCGTTAAGACTAACCCGAAATTGCTAGGACTAGCCATTTTGAATAGGATTGGACGGTAAGAAATATGTGTCAAAATTCCTTATATATTACACGTTTCAAGATACCAACACCAAACCCATCACTAAATATACAATTGAAATTACACCAACAATCTAGGACCGTAACTGTTTATATTTTCATTCTTAGAGAATTGCACAATTAGCCAGGTAAATTGATGACTCTGTGACTACAGTTACCTTATTAGCAAACCCTTGAGAACATCTCCAATGGTTTTTCTATTGCGTTATTTTGTTGCCACATGTCAAAAAATCATATGGGTCATAGAAATTGTCTAGAAGGCTTTCTAGATGTAGAAGTCCTTCTAGACAACTTCTATCATATATTATATTGTTTATTCGATTTATTTTTCTTCTTTAACCAATTACAATTTTACACATCACAAATAATACCACAATTAAAACTAACCATTGGAGACACAATTTTCTAATTTCCTTTCTCCATGTCGTACAACACAATTACCATTGGAGATGCTCTGATGAACATATTCGGATACGGATACGCCCTTCATTGTCGTCTTAACAAATAAAATAACTACAAATCTTGTATAATTTGCTTCTGCAGATACTGCTAAACCTTTTTTATTTTGTTACAAGAACAGATTGGATGATATAATTTTGTAGAAGGATATATTTTTGTAGAAGGAGAAGCCGGAAAAAATATTCCTGGAGCATGGAAAAATGCACAGTGCTGGATGCAAAAAGAAATAGGCAAGAAAATTAGCTTCAAACAAAATACACTATTTCCAGGTCTGATGTAAGACTGATCTTTCATATCATAAGCTCCACCTCCTACTTGCTGCCTTTAAATGCTGAAAGGGAGAAGAACGACGACCGTGTTGCTGAAAGAGAGAAATAGAAAACCAATAGTAATATTGTGGGGGAAATAAAAGGAAAACAAGAAAAACATAACAAGTTCAATTCCACCAAGAAAAAAAAAAAAAGGGAAAAAAGAATTATTATTAACCTTTGGTCGTGGTCACGGAAGCTGAAACTTGGCCTTGCTGAAAATGATGAGCTAAGCTCTGATCATTGAGTTTGCTAATATTTGGATGAGCTGTAACACAAATGTTCAATTATTAACCTATGACGTCCACGTTCATTAAGGACGAAGGAGGGAAAAGAAAAAAAAGACCAACACTCGAGAATGTGAAAGATGATGCATTTTTACAAGGAAGTCGTCTAGTGAAATTTCTCGGAAATCAACTTTACTTGAAGTTGCGACGCCAACAAATCCCCCCATATAATTAGTTTCTATTTTAAAAAGAAAAAAAAAACTTTTTTTTCTGAGGTATCTGCAAACAAATTCAAATATTTAAAATTGATTTTATCATCCTAGGCTGTCACAAGGGTAGATTTATATAATTTAGCCAATTAATTGGAGTTGGGGAGATGGGAAGAATTTTCATCAGCAGGTTCAAGTCTGAATTCCCAAATCATAAATTAACATGAAATTACACACCAATTCAATCATACGAGAAAACTAAGCTTCAGCACGCACCAGAGTTATCATAATCAGCGGAACTCTTCTGGTGACAGTTGTTCATCGACTGATGGGTCGCTTTCCTCAGTAGATTCTCAGCAGTTCTCTTACTCGTTAGTCTGGAATCATCAGCATCATCCTCCCCTTCAGAAATCAAAGACGGGCTCGACCAACCAGTTGCATTCGCCTCATTTTTACTCTTCCGAGCAAATTTTAACAGCCTCTTTAATCCCTTGGGCGCATCTTTCTGGTAGGCCATGGCTGGTGGATTCTCTGCATTCCCCCAGTCAACAAAATCGGGTTCGCTGCTCTCTTCTAGAAGCATCTGGGAGAGAGAGTGACGAACTCGAGGACTTGGCACTTTAGCTGGGGTTATATCAGCTTGTGCATCCACTACTCGTCCAATATCATGGTCAATAGGGGTTACTGAGTGATCTTCATTTTCCTCCATTTCCACCCAAGCACTGGGAGAGATGGTCAATTCATCTTCAGCCTCAGATTTTAGCTCGGGCTCAACCAACCGTTCAATGGAAAAATCAGTGGTGGAGCTAACTTGTCTAAAGCCTCCATCTTCACACTTGTCGAGGCTTCTAGGTGTGGTGGGTCCAGGTCCTGTAACAGTTTCAATATTTGGCCCTTCAATTACTTCTTCTTCATGAGGAGTCGCTGGATCAGAAGAGTTGAGAGATGGAGCATCTTCTTCAGGCGGGGTCGGATCTTCGGGTTTTCTCGAAAGTTCTTGAGGATGAGACAGCTTTTTCCTGAGGACGGGATTAGTTCCGGATGTAGTTGTTTTAGAACTTTTGCGAAGAAATGGCTTTGATTCGAGTGGAACAACACTGCTTTTCTTGGTGACCTTGCTGTACAAGCTGGGTTTTGTAGAGGGAGTAAGATCTTTAGGAGGGGTGGCTTCAACTACTTTGCTTTTTGCAGTTTTTCTCGGCTTAGTTAAAGACAGCTGCTTTTTCTCGGGATCAGTTTTCTGGACTTTCTTGCTATCATTGTGACTCGATTTAGTAGATTTTGCTCGTGCCTGAGATGTCTCTACTCTCGAGCTTGACTGAGAAACTGGTGGTGGTGGTGTCGGCTGTGATCTTCTACGAGTTGGAGTAGGATTTGTAGACGTTGAGGGTGGGGTTTTAACCGGTGACAGGCCTGTTGCTCTAGCTGATGGGATCGACGGCCATGATTTACGAGTGGAAGGCAAGGAGGATGATGCTTTTGACAAGCCTTTCTTAACAATGCCGGGCCTCGGGCTCTTTTCTGTCTTTAAATTTGCAGGTTGAGACACACTACTCTTTACTGGATTCTGGATTTTCTTCACATTCCCCTTTTTATTTTCTTCGGCTGTGCTTGTAGGAGTCAGTTTTGATTTTTTCACATCGAGAGTTTTTTGAGTTGATCTAGGTTGCTTTCCCTTCTCTGCTTTCTTCTTAGCAGTTTGTTCTCTAAGTTTCTCCTCCCTTTTCTCGTTGTAGAGACCGTAATAACCACCTCTTTGTTCGGAAGGCAAGCTCTGTCTCTTGCTGCCATCAGCCACATCACCCCGGCTTTTTACAGGCTTGGTTTCCATCATCTTCATAAAGAGCTCGTTTAGTTCAGCTTCCTTCTGGCGGCTCCACTCGGCCGAGGCATTTGATTTTTCATTAACTTCAGTTTGCACTTCAGTCTCGTGAGTCTCCTCTTGCTTGAGCTCCGGACTACACGCCCCGTTTTCCAGTGGACCATCTTCACAAGTCTCAACTGGATTAACAGATTCAAAATCAGGGGAACTTGACCTAGCTTCGTTGTTCTGGACATTATTCTGAACCTCAATACCTTCAAGTGAAGTATCTTCAGAACTCCGAGAAGGATCTTCCCCCATTCCACTGCTCCATCTCCTTAGTACAGATTTATTCGCATTCAGAAGTGATTTCGCCTTCTGGACATCTCCTCTTTGGTCCCTCTGTTTGCTTTCAAACAGATTAATCGCGTCCTGCACGCTCATCCTCGTAATGTTGCTCTCAGACTTTTTAGGCACTTGCTCGGATTCCTCTTCACCACTATGATCTTCGTCTCTAGTGAAAAATGATCTTTCTCTAGGGGGAATATAGTTGAGACTCTTAATAGTAATGGCGGTAGGACGTCGGGCCCCTGACCGCCCGATTTGTACCCTCCGCATAGGGGATGCCGACCTCCGGGGCGAAGCAGATCGTATTAGAGCCCGACTTCTCTCTACGAATGTTTGTTGGTCTTGGTCACTTGAGAAAGAAGATTCATCTTCGCTTTCTGTAGAGCTTTGCCGCTCAGCTTGTGCGGCTTTTGCTGGGGAGGCAGCATATTTAACGGGAGTCTCAGTAGATGAAGGTTTGTTGGTTTGACTATTCAATTCTTGTGGTCCAACTTTGTCGCGCTCTGATAAATGTTTACTGCTTGTACCTCGTCTGAGTTCTATGTACTTGCACAATGAATCACTGAAATGAAAATGCAGATAATAACAGGTGGTAAATAACACTGGATGGGAGGGGCAAGAAAATCAGAATTACTGCTTTAGGGCCAGTGTACCTCAAGTTGTTTGCACCAAAAAGTAGAGAGAGCTTCTGTATTTCGGTCATCTCATCCAAAGAGTATTGTGAAGCAGAAGCTTGGTCAAAAGCAGATAACAATTTTCCTCTTAGGGCAGTAAGCCTTAGGTCCATGGCCTGCAGCAACTCATTCCTGTGCGCAATAAGAAAAAAGTTGATAGTACAACATGGTTTGTGTTATTCAAGCAAGTAGTGGCAGACAATGTAAGAAAAAGAAAAACATACTTGGAAGAATCCGAGCCTTCAGCCTGCAGACAAAACCATTGACAGTAAAAGCAGTTAAAATCAAATAAACAGCAGTCTTTGATGTTAATGGAAATAAAAGAATAGCATAATAATAGTAGTAGTAGAATTAATAATAATAACAATAATAATAATGATGATAACAATATTTATTACAATAATTGAAAAAACACAGAGCAATAGATTAACTTACATTTGTAGTTAAGCCTGTGCCTTCAGAGCAACCGCCAGTGGGAAAGAGAGACAAAAATTAACTTGAAAGTGAGTAGTTTTATCTTGCCAATAAATGCAGCCTACAATTGGCTGGGTTGTCTTATTCCTAGGCAAGAGCATATGAACAGCAAATGTATGCATAAAATCTTGATGTTTAACCTTATAAAATATCACCAGAAGCTCACTTAACATACAACTATTCACAGCAAGAATAAAACACCTCAACAATAGGATTGTCAAGACCTTTAAATCAAACTCAATTTACACAGAATTGGTGAAACTGACCGGATTGGCTACTCTGGAGCAGATATTTACTATCCTGCGAGGAACAAAAGGGACAAGATTTGAGCAATAGCCTCTAATGATCAATTTAGGTGGAGATGAACTAATTTTACCTTCGTGTACAGATTCCGAGTTTCCTCCAGCTGAAATATCTCCATTTTTAAAGAATTGGTAACATCCAAGATGTTTTCAGACCCAACTATATGTAAAAATCTGTGTCTCAAGAAATTGTAAAGTGAAAATAAGAAATGATCTCTAGTGTAACCAAAATGGTGAAAAAATATTCTAATGTTTGTCATACCTTATTAATGTGGATCTTTTAAACCATTTGATGTCATTTGAATTCTCTGACGCAGAGAGTTTATACTTGGCATTGGATCCTTTAGAGTGCAAAGCTTTTATTTCAGCCGAATGCAGCAAAAGATGCTCCAAAAGTCCAGATGACACTTTCTCTATATTGGTTCCATAGCATACCCATGCCTCATACCTACCAAAGTAACAAAAAAATTTAGAACATGAGAACGTTTTGAAAACATAAAGAGAAGGTTCCAAGCCACAAGAAATCCAATACGTACAAGAAAAGCTAAATTCTAGAGGTTCAATTATCCAAAACAGGTCACGCTGAAAACCACCATAGCAATTAAAAGAAAAGGAAAAAATCAAAAATAAATAAGAGAAATTTAAAGAGAATTACAGTAGTCCTTCTCTGGATATGACTTTTCTCACAATAAAATGGAAGAAGCACACTACATTGTGAAGGAAAGAAGGGATCACTCTTAATCAAGGAGTCTTACAAGAAATTCAGATGTATAAACAAGTTGCTAAAAAAAATTAGAGGTAACTCTACAGATAAAGAGAAAGTAAACAAGAGATGAAAATGGAACGGCACACCACAGACATTTGCAAGGAAATTAGTGAGAAACTTTATCAAATTCATTCAATACATACCTGTTTTGGGACGGAAAAATTTGAAACTCTATGTAATCGAGTGGAGTACTGGCGTCTATAGCTGAATCCATCCTCACCAATCTTATTCCCAAGGCAAACGCTCGTTCGCAGTTATTAACTAAATATACTTAAAATCCGCCTCCAAATTGCATAATCACCAAATCAAAAGCAACCAAATGCAAAACCATAAGACCTCCTTGAAGCTCTTATCATCCCAGTCGTTGGTTCAACAAAATGAAACCTGGTACACGCAAACAAACCCATTACTTAATTACTGTTCAAAACACTGGCATCCATTTAACATTCGAACAGGACACATAAATATCATGAATGTGACTGAGCTCAACCCACACACAGAGCACTAAATCCCGCAGCAGCACAAAAAATCAGAAGCTACAATGAAGAATCGAAACTTGCGAAAACCAAATAAAAATCAATTAAACAAAAAAATTAACTTCAAAGACCGAAATTAGGCCGAAATGTAATCAATGTGACATTCAAATCACTAATTAGGCCGAAATTGTGCAGAACGTTTCTATCTTAACGGAAGGCCAAACGATAAACAGTTAAACACACGCCGCACCTACCTCACGGAGATCAGATCTAGCTTGAAAATGGAAGGAACAGAACAATTGCAAAGCCACCGACAACAACAAAAACCAGACTACACAAGTAAAAAAACAATCACAGAAACCCAACTTTACCACTAAAAAGCTAGAATCCATGGTGTCACTGACAAAAGCAGAGCATCGATTGTGCATGTGCAACAGTGCAAACACAACAAAAGCATTATTACTATATGAATATGCAAATCAAGATCGAGAGAGAGAGAAGGTACTCAACGGAGCTGAAGCTAGAACTGAGCTAGGGAGAGAAGCGGTGAAGTGCTTCTTTATTCAACTCCCCTGGTTTTATTTATCGTGTTTTTATTTTCGAGTGTAGAGAGAGAAACGAGGGGACTTCCGTTTGAATGTAGAGAGAGAAACTTCGGTGTGCAGGAATTAAAGTGAAGACAAAAGTATGTGTATTGAATATTGATTTCCTTTCGAGTCCACAAGGCAATAAAAGACGGAGAGATTTGTTGGAGGTTGATGGATAAAATAAAAGGATTCCTTTTATCTTTTTATTTATTTATTTTTTTTCTTGTGATTGAATGATAAATTCTTTCTATTGAAGAAAACATTATTCTCAAGTGTGTGCAATTACGTACTACCTCCTATTCTTTTTAAATGTCATTTTGGCTTTATCAACTATTAACCAAAATAAATGTCGTTTTGGATTTTTGTACATATTTTTCCATTATTACCCCTCATCTAGTTAATAAATACACTACGTCTTTTCATATTCTTTTCATCTTTTTTTTAATACATCCATCTCTATCTTCATTAATAAGGTTATTATTGACAAAAAAATTATTCTTAATTAGTGTGCAAGTTCCCAAAACGACACTTATTATGAATAGGAGGGAGTATAAAATTTATAAATATAATGATGAAGGTTAATCTCATCTAGACATTGCGAATTTCATGTATAAGAGTTATTAGAGTTGTTAAACGAAACGAGTTGTTCGTGAATTCAATTTGGCTCCGCCTTTATTAAATTGGCTGACCTCGAGCTCGTCGAAACTTATATAGTTACTGAGTCGAGTCAAACTTGGCTCACTAAGGGTGCAAATAAGGTTTTTTTTTATCTAATTTTGTTTGATTTAGTTTGTTCGGACCATCGTTAATATTGATAAATTTTATGAGCTTGAACCGTTAATTGACTTTTTTGCTCATCAGCTCGCTCGCTTTGTTAAGGAGCGGAGCTCGACTCGATTAGATAAACGTGTGAGTTTGAGCACCATAAACTCAGCACAATTCAACGTGTTTAAACAATAATTTATTTTTTTCATTTGTTTTTTTTTATGAAGTTTAGTTAGACAGGAGAGTGCTATGTTGGACTAATGATAATACAATCATGTTTAAGGTATGAAGGTAGTTAAACTTAAACGTAAACGTGTGTAATGTGATGCATGCAATCTTGATTCTTGGATTTATTCCCATTACTTTGCCATCCCATAATCTTATTCATGTAGAAAAAAATAAAAAATAAAATGTTACTGTTGTGTTAGTCCAAAAAATTAATCATAACCAATATCTAACCCTTAAATTAATTAAAAGTGTCCAGCTTGCAGACACAGGTCTTGAGACCAAAATCATGGCATATCTTATCCCTTGACAGCAAGATTATAGAATAATACGAGATTATAAAGATTAATGATAAGTATTAGTGCTCAATCATTTGGATTTGAAAAGGTAAAAAGAACGGTATAAAAAAAAATAAATAAATAAATAAATAAAAACTTAAGGGTGAAGGGCCCAGCATCTGTTCCACCATAAAAGTAATGAGTTTCTGAGTAAGCAACGAGGCCCAGCAGTTGGGCCCAATATAACAGTTTCACTGGTGAAGTCATAATAATGATTAATGAATTCCATTTTACTTAAAACTTTAAAACAGAAAGTATACCCAAAAAAAAACAGAAAGTATACCGCCATTGGATGTGGGTACAAAAATTCTTTTAAGAAATGAGATGGAGAAAAAAATGCTATTTTTAGAAAAATTTGATAGATTTGAGATTGTAATTTGGTACATGATAGTGATCTAGTTAATAGTATAGGAACAATAAAATATTAATTAATAGTGATCTAATTAAAAATATGTGATTACAAAAAATATAATACTGATCAATTTTTATTAGAAATTTTTGTTGGTGAGATTTGTAAAGAAGAAGAGTAAGATGAGATAAGTAATAATAATAATAGTGATTTTTTTAATTTTTATTTTTACTTTATGAGATAAATGTTACCTGAATTTTATATCCAGATCCAGTATCTAATTGCATTATTATAGTTATTATTTTTATTCAAAAATGATGATGATGAAACCCACCTCACCCAAAAAAAGATGAGAAATCGTAAAGGATATGACTTAAGTTGTGTCTGTGTGATACCTTTTTTTCTTTCACATTCTATCACCAAATAGGAATAGGCTGGAGATTATTAAACCCACCGCACCAGAAAAAAGGCGGAAAATAAGTTTGAAAAAGCTCACCGCGTAATCATGCCTTTTTAACAGACGGTAAATCCGAACAAATTGCGATTAAACAATTTAACTGCTCCCAGCCACATTTTTTCTGAAGATGATTATTACATTTGTCTATATCAAATGTGTTAATCGTATTGTGAGACCAATTAATTTAGTGGGACACGTGTCATACATCGTGTTTATTGTGTTGCATGATGACACTTGTCCGCTTAGATGTCATGTAATTAGACCATAAGTTGTCGCATATAGGGGCGGATCTAGGAAAAATTTTTGGGAGATGCCAAATCGAATTGTGTTTGTTTAACTAGTGAAAATTTGATTTCATATAATTCATATATTTAAATGAGTTAAACTAGAACGACTATTCAACTTTTTTATTAAACAAATCGAAAGATTGGAGTTTACACAAGTCGAGTTTGAGCTCATATTTTTATTTATTTATCAAATGGTCAAGCTGATTTAACTCATTTATTAAACTATCACAAGCTTACACATGAGGTATTCAACTTTGACTCGGCACGAATAATATTTCGAGGGGAACTATATAATTTTTAATATCTCTCTTTCTCTCTCTCTCTCTCACACACACACACATATATATAGGCGTAAAATGCGTTTTGAAATGGATAAAATAATTAATAACTTGCACTACAAAATACATAACTTCTTAATGTTGTTAGTTTAAATGCTCAACATTCTTTACACTCACAAAACTCATTTATGAATTAAAAAATGATAAAAGCCTATATATGATCCATGTGTTCTTGAGCAAATAATACATCTGTTCAACAATTTTTTTATCAAACTGTCCAAACTACAGAGGATGAATTAAGACATTTAAGAATGAATATTTACACACATTGAGTGCTAGTTCTAAATAAATCTCTAATAAGGATAAATAAATTAAATTATGAACATTAGTATAAATTAATGTACTCACAAATATAAGAGGATGATCAAGTACCCAGAAGAATCAAGGAATTGTTGACGAATGATTATTGCTGCGATTTTTTTTTTTTAGCTTGCCTATGCGAATATACTCTCTGCTATGGCTCTTGAGTTGAGGACATAAGGGGTGAGGCTATTTTTTAAGTTAACTCAAATAGTTTGATTAGTTTTATTGATAAAAGTAATAATAATATAATATAATTATAATACATAAAGGTGAAAGTTGGGGTTTATGGATTCCTTAAATATATCTTTAATCTTTAATGGGCCTTGATCTTAACCCACCTAATCAAAGTTAATAATATCTTTAGATAAATTGTTAGGAGGGACAATAATAATTAAATATATTTAATCTAATATATTGCGTATATACTTAAGTAAAAAAAAATAAAAAAGTTTGATGGTCGCCCCCTAAGATATATGTACGTCCGCTACTGAGTCGCATAATCATCTATAAATTGGCTCAGGCCACAAATTTGTTGTAAGGGATGATCCAATTTTTATGCAATTAATTTTCAGATTATTCAGAAAAAAAACCGACCTCTATAGTTACTCATGAATTTTGATTTAAAAAAAAATTAAAATCTATTAATATATAAAGAGGGAATGATAGTTGTTTGAAAAAATCAAGTAAAAAATCAGCAAAAAAAAGATTTCAATTCCCGCCTAAAGTTTAGCATAATTTTTGGCGAAAAAATAAATAAACTCCCGCCCATCCACTTCAAAAATTTTTAGAGATTTTATTTATTGATTTAAGCTTATTTGAATTTATCTCTTTCTACAATTTAATTTTTTTAATTCAAAATTCGAAACAAAAAATCCGCAGTAGAAGGAAAAACGAGAAAAGAAAGGAAGACAATCTTTCTCTTTTCTCTCTCTAAACCAATTTGATTTGGAAGATATCTAAACCAATTTGATAAGATCCGCAGCAATTTGATTTTTCGCCTACTTCCCTAAACCAAAAATTCCAGATCCTCTTTTGGCTTCACGGTAGAAATCCCTATTTGCGTCATCTTTTCGCCTCTGCTTCTCTAATTCTCGCTCGTCGGGCCTTCCCCAGCCGGCGCTGGGTCTTCTGACGGTGGCCGGCTCCGGGCTGAGTGGTCTCCTCCGCGATTTTGGGTTAGTGCCTCCCCTTTCCGGCTTTGGAAGAAGATGGCGACTCAGGCGAGTTCAGCGTTGACATGGTCATTGACGCCTCTGCTCCGACCATCCGCGCCACCGTGGTCCAGGCGGCCACCGTCTTCTACGACACCCCATCAACTCTTGGTATATTTTTATTTTTCCCATTTCGATTCTTCCTATGCTCTGGTGAAGTTTCTGAATTTTGCTCGAGTTTAGCTGATAGTTCCCGTATCGCAATTTGAAGTTTTTTTTGTTTTCGTTTTCAAGTTTGATTTTTGTCGCGGAGGTTTAGCTCAAATTAGGAAAAATGAAGGGAAAAAAAATAAAAAACAAAAAAGAAAGCAGCTTTTTGTGACTTTCTGATTGGAATGAATTGTGAGAGAGGGAAGGTGGATTTTTAGGTTTACACTCTTTCACAATCTTATGTCTGGCTATGGAGAAAATTTTGAGTTAAATAATTAAGAATTCATTTGTAATTGCGTTACTATAATTTATGACAAAATGGTTTCAATTTAACCAATCTATAGCTGATGCTTTCTTCATTTATATATGCCATATGATTTGCTTAAGGATGTTCAATGTGTAGTATCCATTTGTAATTACTAGCAGAAGTTATTAAAATTTCTTAAAAGCGGTTTCAATAGAACTGCAATAAATTTCCGGGGAGTCGATTTTGATATCAACTTTAACTCAAAGACTCTCCGATATGAAGCAGGTGACAGAATATTTTTGGTATTGGTTAGTTACCATGTTTTGTAACTCTTATATTCTTATAGTTTGTGAATAATTTCATAAGCGTTGATGGCTTCATTCATTTGATTTTGTTCGTTATCATTTGGAGGCGGAATAAATTGTTGTCCTGTGGAATCGATGTTTTTTCTGCCTCCATTTTGATGTTTTTAGAGCTAATTTTGCTTGGGGGAACTTTTTCTGAGAAAATTAGGTTAAGGCTTTTAGGAACATCTCCGGCCGCGCAATTGCTTGCTAATGAGCCCGGGGATGCGGTTCGAGGGTCGCGTTTTGAAGCAGTCTCAGGTATTTCATGTGGCCTATGGGTGTTTGTTCTTTTTAGAGGTTTCAAGAATTTGGTTATGGTGTTTTTGGGTATTTCATATTTGTGTTTTTTTTGCTCATGCACTGTGAATATACCCTTCCTTCTTTTTCTCAAGGAGCTAGATCGACAGGTCTGGGAATTGTTGGTCTGGTGTTTCTCTGTGGTTTCTTGTGCTGGCGCATCGCATATATTTCATTTGTTTGTTAGGTAAGTCTATTGCCCTTCCCTTTCATGTGCTTTCCACTGAATTCTTTGTTGTAGTATTATTGTAAATTGGATAATAGCTCCATTGGTTTGATGTGTGTCTGAGTTTTAATGTAGTCTCCTTGCATATTTTTTTAATTTTTTTTGGATATTACCACCCTTCCTAATTAAGGTTGGTCTGTTTGAAGACTTGCTTGTTTGTTATTTCCAATGTTATCTGAAAATTGTGTACGTCGGATATTTCTTTAACTGCATCCTTGCTGTTGCTTATTGGACTTAATCATGATAGTGGTGCTAAAAACTATACGCATGCACCATTATTCATTACTATTTCAAATTCCATCTCTCTTTCTCTCTCTCTCTTTTATTGTTTGACTCTTTGTTTATCTCTTTGTTTGTATGTATGTTATAAGTATGTATACTCACTCTCACGCATATTCATGCAACCATGTCATTGGCCAACTACAAAACTCTCTCTCATCTCATCCCCTATAAAATGAGCACATCACAATTTCAATCTTCATAAACATATATATATTCTTTTTTTTCATTAAGGAAAAAAAAAAAAGTATAGGAATGGACGGTGGTGATCAAAATGGTGGTGGAGGGTCACGATGGAACCCAACAAAGGAGCAAATAGAGATGTTGGAGAGCTTGTACAAGCAGGGTGTACGTACACCCACGGCCGAACAGATACATCAGATCACTGCCCGCCTCAGGGAATATGGCCACATCGAGGGCAAGAACGTCTTTTACTGGTTCCAGAATCACAAGGCCCGGCAGAGGCAGAAGCAGAAGCAGGACTATCTCAACTGCTTTCTATATAATACCCCTCCTTCACTACTCCTCCCACAAAATCACAATGGTAATAAATATTATACATCATATTATTTAATTTATAATTTGTATCTGTCACTGTTTTTTGATATTCCGTTATATTATTAATTTTTTATCCAATCCTATATAATAATTTCTTTTATTGATATTTTAATATCTATGACAATTTAAGTTACTATTAAATATATGTAATTGATTTTTATCTTGTATGTAGGTTTATGCAGCCCATGGTACACATCAGCCAAAAGCATAGAGCCAGGGTTTTATCAGCAGTACCCAAATGTACAACTGTCTACAGCAGCAGGTAATTTGAAGGGGGAAAGGTACAACAGGTTGATGCATGGAAGCCAAAATGTGGGAAAAGAAACACTGGATTTATTCCCACTTCACCCCACTGGAATTCTGCAAGCCAAAAGTGGGGTTATTGAGAGTGAGGGTAGTATTGGAAATGAGAAGAACAAATTTGCTACTACAACTTCTTCTAAAAATGACAACAAGAAAGCTGGCAATGCTCATCACTTTTTTGATTTTTTCTGCAGAAATTGAAGAAAAAAAAATTATAAAGACAGAAAAGGTCTTTCTTTTATTTCAGAAAAAAGAAATTATTAATCACTGAATTTTAGGTTTTTTATTTTTTCTCATCAGAAGGGACTGACAGGATCTTTGATTGCTAGGTGGAGATTGAATTTTCATGTTGACTGAAGATTAGAGGATTGATTTCAATTTTATTTTTCTTTTTTAATTTATAAAGAAAAACAAAAAAAATTGGTTGCTGTTTTTGGGGCTTTGAGAAGGGGACTGACACAAAAGGTTGCTTTTTTTCTGTTTTGGGCATAGGCAAAAATGGTTTGTTTTAAGTGTTTGTAGTGATGACTGGTTGATGAAGACTTGCTTGTTTGTTATTTCCAATGTTATCTGAAAATTGTGTACGTCGGATATTTCTTTAACTGCATCCTTGCTGTTGCTTATTGGACTTAATCATGATAGTGGTGCTATTTACCAAGAAAAGCTAGTACTACCTCCTATTCTTTTTAAATGTCATTTTGGCTGTATCAATTATTAATCTGTGGACTTTGAATTCCTTTGCTGCCAGCAGTTCATAGTAACTTAAAAGTTGGGTTATCTCTTTGGCTGCTATAGCAGATTTTTATTATCCCTTAATAAAATTATTTTTGCATTTCGCTCCTGTACCAATCATGTTATACACACACTATGAACCATATAGGTATAAATTGCTGGATGGGCAATGTATATAGTCACAGTCGGTTTCTAGATATTCTTTTATCTATCTTATACTTCCATACAGAATGGAATCCATATGAAATACACTGAACTCGAACTCCTTGGTGACCTGAGGAAGAACACCAATACACTGTAGCTGTTTTTGTACTTATATTTTTCACTAATCTTTTCGTTTTTGGGTGATTTGGCCTTTGTGCAGATAACATAGTTGAACTCATATGTAGCTTTAAGAAAGAGGTAAGTTCTTTCTTATAGTTTGTCTACATTTTTCTGCCCGTGTGTTAGTATTAATCCGTTTACTTATGAAGGTGTTTGGTTAAATTGATTTCAAATATCTTATAAACTTGTATATGTTATGATATGTTGTTTGATACAACTAATATCTTATAGCTGCTTTATATATATATATATATATATATATGATTCGTTGTAAATTACAAGCAAAATTTGTGAAATAATGTAACAAAGTGAGAGTTTTTCCTTAGTTTGTTCTTACTTACGTGTTGTTCATGTTAGTGAGTTGTCAGCTACATGAACAATCTCGAGGGTAAGAGGGTCGAACTTTTTGCCATGGGAAATGGTCCTTATGATTCACAAGCTGATGAGAATTTTCGACTGGCATCAAGTGGTGTTTCATATTAATCGTTTCTTTATTACATTTGATTATTTAGATGAGAAAGAAAAATAAAAGACATTGCTATCCCGGGATACCTAATTGCATAGATTCAATTAAAGAAAAATCTCAACAGCTTTATATTTGTTACACGTTCGAAATAGTTAGTGTTAACATATTGGATTAAAAAAAATAAGAACATAAAAAATTTTGGGAACCTCAAATTACTAACATTCTTTATTAACATTTTTTTAAAAAAATATATATTTAAGAGACAAATACAGAATATTATTGGAATAGTTTTTATTACACCAAAATGGAAAAAAAAAAATAAGTCTTGGGATATTCTTGGGATATGATCCGATTTCCTTCAAAATCGCCAAAAAAAAAAGATCAAATCAAGTAATAAGCTTATATCATATAAATCCACATTTTAAAACTTAGAAAATAAGTGCATATATAAGCACCAAAATTTCATCTATAAATAAACTCACATTCCTCACATTCCTGGTAAAATGAAATCCAATATTAGTCATAAACTCACACATTCAAAATTAAGGCATGGATAAACTCTTGGTCTACTCAAGAATTTTAAATGAAATGCGAAGGTCATCTTGAAACTTTCAGAGATGATGTTTGATGCTTTTTATAGAAGTTATTTGGAAATAGTTTTCCACGATAGTGATGTTATTATTTTTCATTATGTGATTTAATAATAGTTGTCAATATTTATTATTTTAATATTTTTTTACGAAAATATTATTTTTGTATTGCGATTTCACAGGGTGACCGCATAACTGGACTAATTCGTGACGTTAACATTACAAAGATGAGTGACAAGTTCGATGATGGTAGAAAGTAACATTGGTAAATCACAATCTATTAATGTAAAGTGTTGGAGTATCCTACCAATTTCCCAACGTTTTATTTTGACTTCTGTAATTTTGCTATGCAGCAAGATGTTGACAATATAAGCAAATGGTTTATGTTTTTAATTTTATTTTCAAATATATAGACATACGTGTGGTTGTGTTTTACTTTAGTTCTCTACGTGTTATGTTATTAACGTATAACCCATCGTTTATTATAAATATTAATATGTATCTCTTACCCGTGCATCGTACGGGATTCGTACTAGTTAATATTGATGATATGTAGTACTATAATTTTGTGTGTTCCTCCTGGTCTCAATTACATCGACCCCGTATTCACGAGACGAAGGAATTGAATTTTAAATTAAACAACAACAAACTACCCTCGTATTCAGGAAACGAAGGGATTGAGTTTTAAATTAAACAACAACAAACTAATATGGATGAAATGTATAATTTTTGTGTCTTTTGTTCCATTATATTTTACTAAATAATAAAAATATAAATAATTTGAATTTTGTAAAATATTTATTTTTATGGCATAAAAAAAAATATTGAATGTTGTTATAAGTAATTTTATATATTAAATTCTAATGTCAAACGACTAATTTATACTAGTGTTATAACGAACAGATAATATAACCAGCTTGTCAAAATAGATAATACAATTCACTATTTAAAACAAACCCTTTTGGTTATTTGGTAGAGATATCAAATTGTGCTATGTTCATATTTCACTCTTTTCCATATTATCTACTTTATTGATTGTATATATGATGCTAAGTTTAAAATTAACTAAATTGTTTATTTCCTATGGTCATATCGTGACAGTCATTGTCACTTTGAAACTAAATCCAAGTTCAGTTTCAGATTTGGGATTTATCGATTTCCACCCCGGACTGAAAATTACTTGAGGTAGTTGGATAATTTGTTTTTACAATTTATGTTCCAAAATGAAATAATTTTTCGGCAGTAATGATTTTTCATACCTTTGGAACATCAATAATGCTTAAAATCAATAAAAGATATTGCCACGTACAACAAAAACATAAAAATGCTTATTTTGTTTTTGTTAAAAAATATACCAAGCGAAAGTTCATTCTACACGTACTAATAATGGTTTTACGTTCACTTCACCACCAAAATGCATACATGCACCAGACAAACAGCCTGAAGCAAATACACAAACCACCCATATAACGATCATCCACAAGCAAAGCAAGCAGTCTTTAACCAATCACTTCCTAACTCAGCTCCTGATGAGAGCCCATCAATTCACACGACACAACAAATCTAGAAAACGAAGCAATCCACCGCCTCGCCTCAGTCAAGAAGATCACACCCGAAAAGTCAATCCAACATTACTCTGAAGAAAGGTACAATAAAACCTTTTGACAAGACATGAAAATTCCGGGACTCTGGAACGGATAATTTTGGAAAAAGCACCAATCTTGGTTCCGTTTTAGTTGGACCAGACGTGAACGAGACCGAGTCTATTCCCAGTGTAGATTTCGTTACGGTCTTCATCGTAGAATAGTGCGGTTATATCCTCAAGAGCCTCGGCCACAGTGCTTCGAACCCCGCAAGTTTTGCTACGCTTTCTCGAGCTGCAGTTTTTGCCGCTACAGTCCAAGCTACAGTAGCATTCGTTCGCGGGGAGACCATTGCTAGCCTTTATCTTGGCTAAGCACTTGCCCGTCAGGATATTGCTGATATTTATAGAACCGGCTGTCACAAACAGTGTAGTGTATATAAGGCAGTCAAACTCAAAGTGCTTAAATGTATGAATATATGGTGAATGTAGTCTCAAGGGTTAGACTATGAGATTTGCATCGACGGGGCAGTAATTTATTGAAAAAGCTACCAGATAGCCATTCAGGTACCATAACCACCACATTGGGATTCTTGTGTTTGATTAATGGTAATTCAGGGAAATAGACTAAAGCGATCATTGTAATGAGACTGAACATCAAGGGGAATTCTCTTAATTAAACCAACCTTAACTTTTGGTAATCATGAATAAAAAAAAAAATTGGGGGGTAAAAATTGCTAAAGGCGGTTTGGCCTAACAACGAAAGGCCATGCTAACTTTTAAATTACAGAAAAATGCCCCAATTTTTTACTTGGCGAAGAACATTATACAATGTCCTTTCGCATTTAATAAAAAGTATCACATGTAGCCCCTTAACGCCACATCAAACCACATTATTTTTCGATTTCTACAGCAAATTCCAAGAGGTAGCTGGGTAATTTGTAATTAGATCAAACTTCAAGGGTACTTTTAATTATCTTAGTAACAAAAATGTTGTAAACATACCATGTCCATCAGAAAGTGGTTCTTCCGAGTCTGCCTTGCAGTAAGAGATGATGAGGTCCTGGTCGCTGGTGATGTATATGTTGTTCGTATTGCAATCAGGATGCCAGAGGAGGTGATCCTCGAACGAGGTCACGAGCTCCCCTCTGAAATTCCAAACGGCGACAGTTCGGTTTCTGAACGTCAGAAACAGTTGGTTCTCGTACAGAAATATGAATGCAGATGGGGTCATAAACTCGGTCCTGCTAACTTCCGTTATCTCGGTATTACGAACCTATATAGAAAAGATATTAGATTTCACAGGAAAATGAACATCAGGGGAGAGAGGGAGAGAGGGAGAGAGGGAGAGAGAGAGAGAGAGAGAGAGAGAGAGAGAGAGAGAGAGAGAGAAAGAGAGGTACGTCGACAATCTGTAGATTTTCGTTCTCTTGCTTGACGAGAAGCTTCTCGTTGAATTGTTCTATGAAATCAACCTTCTTATTTTTGTGAAGGAGATGGCTGAAAGATTTTAAGACAGTACCGTCCTCAATAGAGAGGATCTTTAACGGGACACCACCGTGGGCTTTGGTAAGAATCAATAGCATGATACCTGGGCTGTTGAGGGATGTGAATCAACGCATTAGACATACATTGTAGTAGTCACGGTCTATAAAGCTGCTCTAGAGGAGAGCGGAACTACAGAAGAGTTCCAAACATTCTCAATACGACCCAAAAAGAAAACTACAAAATACTTCAAAACCATATATAATGTATCAATTCAAGAATGCTGGGGAGTCCAGAGTAAAAATATAATGAAGTGTAATCAGCTTCGAGATGGTCTTTGCAATAGAATTGGGAGGTGGGATAACTATTTCACTTGAACTACGACATGAACTTATTTAAAGAAACATGTGGTCAAGAACAAGATGTGGGTGTGAAAATGAAAATGAATATGCAAACAGTAAGCATCTCAATTCACATATCAACCTGATCTTAATCTCTTGAACGTTTTTATCTGATATGGAGTATAGCATGGTGTAGTTCTTCAGGTCAAACACCTTGTATATGCTGAAAAGAAGAAAACTAGGGCATCATCAAATTTCAAGGAAATACATCAAATGATTCACAGATTGAGATTGTTAAACACATACCTATCATGTGCGGAATAAGTCAGAACCTTCCCATTCACATCATCAAACTCCACAAATCCAGGCCACTTCAAAGACTCAGACTCAAACAGCGGGAATCCAGCATCGGGTTTACCCCTTCGAATGTACCTGAAAAAAGTTCATTACACGTGAGCGTTAGGAACAGTTTGAACATGAATAGCATTAGAAACGCATGATTGATAAAATTCCATACTCGATCCTTGTGGTTCTGCATTTTAATGAACTAAAGTTATCTGAGGCATAAACAGAAACTGTTATGAGCGAGTCATTGTTTTTGTTGTAAAACAAGCTCCTGATAACTTCATCAGGACAGACATTAAGGAAGCATATCCTCTGGTTAGACTCTGCAAACAACAGGTGGCATATAAGTCATTTTTCTACTGCCAATGATTGAGAAGAAAACATTTGCATAAGCTGATAATATTATGGTATATCATTGCACCTCGGCTGAATGCTGCACAAACACCCGATTGCGCTAGAGCAAAGACAATATCACGGGCAGCAACTATCTCAATAATTTTTGACCTCTTCTTCAGAAATGGCAACGACAAAGGACCATATCCCTTGGGATCATGAGTGTCATACTCCTCCTGAACCACAGTTATACTTGGTTAACAATCAAGTGCATATACCACTGAAGGAGGTAAAAGGATTAATGAGAAAATGCCGATGTAAAACATCATATCAGGAAACTAATGCATGGTAAATATGTTGGTCGACACCTAAATGACACAATTTCCTTATATTTCCTATATAATTGAATAAACTCCAAGGTCACACAAACTCCTCTAGCTCTGGAAGTTCTAAAGTCATATAAATTTTTCCATTACACTGTAATAGTTACTCATCTCTAAAATTGCACATGTATTTCCTGATTGATTGTTCCTATTTAAATTCATTCTCCAGATTAAGATTTTAGACATAACGAAGAGCAAATGGTTCATTTAAAAACGAAGGATTGGATCAACCATAGGTAACTTTCTTCAGGTATCAATTTAACGTACACTTTTATATATGTCTTCAATTAGGTCATGAACATGCATCTCATACCATATAGCATTAATAATCTGATGTCATGTGCACTGTGCAGCTAATGCTAGAACAAGAGACATGTTTTTGTGTGGTGGGTAACGTTAGACAAGGCACGCAGACCACGGTGGAGAAAGGTAACATTAAGAAGGGTGTAAAACGGACTTTCTGTCAATGAGAAGATGATCATTTAATGAACCAATATTCAACATTTTTACTCAACTAATGACCCCTGAATCATTCAAAATTGTGTTAATACAATAAATAGTTATATTCCAAAAGTGACAAAAGTACTAATGGTAACCGAATAATGACAACTACAACTTCTAAAATCATGTTCCTATTATCATATATGTAATATAGACTAAATGTGACAAAAAGACAAGATCGAACAACAAAAAAAGTAAAACAAGTATTTAGTTGGAAAAAAACACGGAACTTATTTAACCTAGAAAAATTCCAAAAAAAGTTATCGCCCTTGAAAATGTTCAACACTTAAAAATTACATGCAGCAGCATGTAGCAGTTGGCAAAATCACACAAAAAATCGTAGCTAACTCCCTATAAGATAACTAAGGGTGTGTTTGGTAAATCACAAGTTCGATTCGAGTTTCTCGTGACTCATGGCTGAAAAGCTAAAAGCTAACTGATATAATAAAAACGTCAACTGAAATAAAAATTTCAACTGACTTCTATGAAAAGCTACCTAAAGATTATGAGATAAGCTCGAGCTGTTTACAAAAACCTATTCAACCAAACCAAATTTATTTGAATACAAGAAAGCTTATAAGTTAACTGAATAAACTAGTTTGGTTATGGTGCTTATCAAACACATGCTAAGTCTCTAACCTTCTTCTAGAAAAGTCACCCAGCTGTTGCACCAGACGATCTAAGATACAGACCGACATATTATTGGTATTACTATTCAAGAAACCCTACAATTCCAATATTTTTACATGAATCTTCTTTATACCCTCTCGGCCCAGAAGATAAAGCATCACAGCCAACAAACTCAAAAACATAGATCTACAAACACAGCAACATATATGTGTCAATAAAGTGACAATGCACTCAAAAACAGGGAAAATCTAAATGGGTTTTCTGTCAGAGATGCAAGGAACACTTAATCAAACCTGCAAAAAACTTCACTTTGCTCTACGATGAAATCAGCCATCACACAGACATATAAGTTTGAATCTTTCATAAGCAATCAAAAACCATTGTTTTTGAAAACAAAAACAAATACAACTAAAAAACAAAGATAAAAGTTGGCACTTGGCAGGTTTAATCAAAAGAACCTGCAGAAGAATATTGCGAAATCTCTCCTGCGCGTCACTCATACTGAAAGAGCGGTCACGCTTAGATGAAATTTCCCTTCTCTGCAGCTTCTTCACGCTGTTAACGAACCCATCTAAACCACCGCGAGGCCGCTTTTTCGCCACCACTCGCCGCCCACAGCACGGTCTCGGGCTCGCCGTGATCCGCCTCCCGTCCATTTCAGATAAAATCACTTAAAAAAAAAAAACCTTCTTTACAGAGGAATCTAAACCCTGAAAAAAAACTATACGGAGATTAAACACAAACAGACGCCCCCAGCTTGGTTTCTACACATAAGCGGGCATCAAAAGATAAACGAAACCCTAGTTCTCCGGACCCAGAAAAAATAGTTGAGGCTCCTCTACTGCCCCAGGTCCAGAGGAAAAATTCACAGAAAAAAACAAAAGGGAGAAAACCCTCGTTTCCCCCTTTATCTACAACTCAGCTTTCGAATCACCGATTTCAGTTTATACACTCGCATTGTTGAGAGCAAGTGAGCCAAATCAATTCTCTCTCTAGCTCTGCAAATGAAACGAGCGAAGAGTGAAACTTGGGTATTAATGAAGAGGGCCTAAGATGGAGAGAGAGAGAGAGAGAGGAATTTGTCGGATTTTAATTTTTATTATAGAGGAGTTTTTGACGTCCTTCAAATCCATATGGCCTTATTGATGACTTTTTTATTTTTGCTTTATAGTTGTGTTTACGTATATCTTTATGAAATGAATGGGCCAAAATATGTAATAATTTTTTCTTTTAAATATGGTAATTTATATATTTATACTACGTATTTTAGTGTGAAATTATTCAAAACGTTGATTGATTTCGGACACTTGTGTTAAGACAAAATTCTAGCCATTAAGTCAAATATTTGAAACCGATTCAACCCCTTTTAATTATTACTATCAGATTTCCCAAACTTTAATGTGATTTACCTGTCTTTTTTGTTTGAGTTAACCTCGTTGAATTGAAGAATCTGCTTATTTTAGTACAAGTTTATCTCGTTACGAAAATTACATTTTTATATATGGATGTTTATCTACTAAGCAAATCACAACTTGTAATTTGATTGCAATTTAAGCCCAATTTATTAATTTAACAATTTATGAGCGACTTTTTTTAACAAGTTGAAACACATACCAATAAATAAAAATTTGTAACATAATGTTAAAAGAAAAACTAACAGATCACTTGATGAGGTAATTTACAGGAGATGAACGTTCATTCAGATTCAACTATGTTTTTATTTTTTTAACCAACCTCATCAAACGAGGCTAAAAAATTGAATTGAAATTACAACGGGAAAACTAAAAAATAATGGTCTTCCTATATTTTAAAATTATACACCATTTTTTTTTTTTTAACAAAAATTCTACACCATCTTATTTGTTGTTTAGAACTATAAAATTTAGATCTTATGAGCGAAGTAGATTCACCTATATTTCAACCTAGATCCACCGGAGTTATTCTTTAATTATAGTTGGACCTCTATGTGCTATATTGTATAACGAAAGAGTTTTTAAAGTTTTTAATCTGTAGAACTAGTAATATGAGAAATGCATGTATTGCTTGAAATGCCATTCATCGTTCACGGAGATCTCTATTTATGCTTCAATTTGCAAAAATTATAAAATTATGCACTGAATTGCCAAAAAAAAAGTACTTAAATTGCAATTGAAATAAAAGTCAGATGATTTGTTTTGTAATTTTGTCTTTATTGGATTCTATCATCCTTCTAAGCATTATTTTGAAAATTGGAAAAATCGGCTTGTTGGACTGGTACTTGGTCAAGTAATTTGTTTGGTTCGCTAAGCATCCACGATGCTTTGGTCTCTTTTTGTATATGTGGCATATAATTGGATTTGAATTTTAAATGACATGGACAAATCCAAATAAAAATTGCAATGCAAAAATAAAAAGACTAGGTCTAGCATACATGTCAACCAATAGAAATGTTCTAATATGTTTTATTCATTAAAAAAAATTAAATTAAGAACAAATGATGAGTGTTTGAGTTTGTACTTGGATACAAAATAGACCCAAGTGTGGACTTGGTCTCTTTTTTGTATTGCTACATAAGCTAAACTATGTCCACTTTTAATTGCATTGAGAAGTATTTTTTATAGACTAAGTCTATTTCCCATGTGGCATGTGATTTTTTGTTAAGAGACCCAAAACATTGTGGGTGCTCTAATGAAACGATAGCTAGTGAAACATACAAGTTGGACCAGTCTGAGTCATTTTCATTTTTTTTCTATTTATTCATTTGAAAAATAGATTTAACATATTTCAATGAATATTTAATAAAAATAAAAAATAAATATAATAGAAATATATAAATTACTATATCAATTGATTCCATATTCAAATATTTGAAGTTATACATTATTTAATTAATAATAATTTTGCATAAAAAATATTATTTAAAATACAAGAGATGTTTAAATGTATTTTTTAATCAAATATAATCAACGAGCCATTAAATTTATGATTTCCACCACTTCAACGAGCATTCCCAACCTTGCTAACAACATATTTTGTTCTTATAATGGAATTGATTGTATCTATATATTACTAAAAATAAGAAAGTTTATAAATAGACGTATTGAAATTTATTCGCCAAATATTATTACTTTTTGTGAAATTTTTGTGTTTGCTATTAAACATCAAAGTATTTAAAAAATAATATATTACTCTCTCTTATTCATAATATGTGTCGTTTTGAAATGTTGTACAGTAATTATTTTTTGTTTTTGCCAATAATCCTCTTTAATGAAAATTAATAATGTGAAAATTAAGAATGAATATGAAAATGCATAGTGTATTTATTTGCTAAATGAGTGTAATAATGAAAAATATGTACAAAAGATTCAAAAACGTCATTTATTTGGTTAATAGTTGATAAAATCAAAATAACATTTAAAAAGAATAGGAGGGAGTATTGCATAATTCTGACATGATACTTAAAGTGAACATACATATAATTATGCTTGACTTACCCTACTAGATTACAAGTAAATAATTCAAAATTATAAAATGATATTAAATAATTATTAGTTTTAATGAAAAGTCAAAGTTTGAAAATAACGTATAATTTGTTGTGTTCTTACAGATTTGGTTAGGTCTGCTCGTTTGTCGGAGAAGGGCTGTTATTTATGTTATTTATTTTCGTTTTTGTGTTGTTTTTGTTAGGTGTTTGTTTGTATCTGTGTTCGTATTGTATTTGTCTTTTAAGTTTGGGCCGTTGGCCCCTGTGAGCCCAAGTGTCAAACTTATTACTCCGTTGGGGTCCGACACTTGGGTATTACCCTCTTCGCGTCCTTGTAGTTGTTCTAGTTGTTTGAGTTGTTTGTATTGTTGGTTAGTCTAGTTGTGAGTGTGTTTTTTATTCTAGCGTTGCTAGTCGGGTTTCTAGGCGGGCTTCTGCCCTGTCCTCCCACTTTTTCAGCTGTTGGCTGCTGTGTATTCAGCCGTTGGCTGCTGTGTATTCGCACATTTGTGCATTTTGATTTATAAAACTTTCTATCGTTTCGGGAAAAAAAAAAAGAAAAGATTAAAAAAGTTTAATTTTAATAACTATTTAACTTTGCATAAAAAAAAATCATACAAACTGTATATTATAATGAGAAGACACTTAATAAATTTATATTTATATCTATATCTATATCCATGTGTTACAAAAAAAGTCTATACATATACTATTTTTTTTTCTTATTTATTACATAATAAATAAATATTTTGACTATATATAAAATTCAATACGTCATTTATCATTTTTCCACATTTAAAACAAAATTGATTATCTTTGTATAGTACTTTTGATTTTATACTTATAGTGGGCATGCATGTAAAACTATTTTCCTATTTGTATGAAAACATTTTTTTTAACAACTTATTTTATATTTTAATTCATCATTAGTTGAATCGATTTTCTATTTTAGTAATGCACGAGTTTCGTGAATATACCACGGCGATATTTTCATTGAATGACAGTGCTTATTTTTTTTCATAAATGTTTTCAAAACCAAAATGAAAAATATATCATGTATGCATTTGGGTGAATGCACTTTTTAAAAAAATTTAAAAATAAAATAAAATCTTAAACTGTAATTAAGCATGCTAAATGTAATGGCAGTGATATATACACAAGTAACTTTTATGTTTCGATTTAACAATTTTATAGTGAGTAATATTTATTAAGTTGTGTGTTGCTATAATTTATTAGTAGTTAATATGTAATGTACCGAGCAATCGAGAAATATAAAGATATTGTTATAAAAAAGGATCATTGAAATTGTTTACCACAACCAATTATAATGGTAATTTAAAATTGAGTAATCGAGAAAACAAAGATAATGTTATACAAAGATTTCAAATCTTGGATGACCAATCAACAAATGTATAATATCAACATATCCGTAAAAAAAATCATAATAGATAATAATTCATTTTAATTCTTTATATTATTGAATTTAATTTTTATTTAATACTTAGTATCATCAACTTGACATTGCTCGTGCATATGTAGGTAAATAGCTAGTTATAATAACAAAATATTTTATTAATTAAAAGAAATATATACATATATTAAAAGGTATACCATTTACCAGATTTAGTATAAAGAAAAGCCAACAACATTTATTACATTACTATTTCCGTATTATACAATCTCTACTTATATAAAAAGAGATTCTATTTACTACATTTACTATCCAGAAAAGTCAACTGCATTAAATACCATTACTATTTTGGTATTATAATATTTTATTTATTTAATTGATTTATTTATTTATTTTATTTTAAAAAGGTAAGTATAATAAAACTATTTTAATAATAAAAAAATCAAATACCAAATAAAAATGTACACTTTGACTTATTTGATTATATTTGGTATTTGATTATACCAAATATATTCTTATTTAGTATATACATTAAATACTTACTAAGTATTTATTTGTTTTATTGGTCAAAGTTAAGTATAAATTTGTTTATATTATGAAATCATAAAAAATATTAAATCCATATTGTAAAAAAAAAATCATATAATTTTATAACAATTCTACTACACTATTTAACAATATTTCTTTTTTATTATATAATAAAATAATAATTAAATATTATATGGTGAACAACAATAAGTAAAACTGTTACTTTCTCTTATATCAAAGGATAAATTTATATGCTAAAATTAAATTTTTATCAGTATAAATGTTTTAGTGAGATAATATATTAATTATTTTACAAGCTAGCCCTAACATGCTCATATTTAATGTTTTAAAAGATGTAAAAAAAAACTTATAATAACTCTATTGTTTTTTAGACTTATACGTTGATTAAAAGAGGTAAAAATTCCTAATTTTTTAGACTTAAACGTTGATTAACACCATAGATTGAGAGTTTATATTTAGTAAAATTCTTAATTTTAATAAAAAAATTAATTTTTGCTATATTTTAGAATATCTTTAAATTCATTACAAAAAAAAGAAAAAAAACTACAATGAAAAAAGCAAGTCAGCTATATATCGAATTGTTGTACTCCTCAAATCACATTCACAATTTGGCTATAAGGAAAGGAAACTCATTAATTAAAATATTATTTTGTCAGTA